ATCCAAATGAATGTTGGAAGATTTCCGCACCACTTAACATGTCAATGTAATGCAACATCACTTTCCTACCTACTTTAGTAACAGCATTTTGGAAACGGAATGAGAACCATCCAGAACAACAACAATCAGTTTCTATGCATCCTTCATCATCCCTGTCATCAACAGGCTTGTGTGAGTTCAATTACTAACTTTTTAAGGTAGAAAATATGAAGACTGTTAACAAGTAAAATTCGAATCTACCATAGATAAAAGAAATTATTCTACGAAAGTGGAAGTAGGTGGTGGTTTGTAAAAAAACAAAAGTGTTGGAAGTACCTAGGTGGTATACCACAAAAACACAAAAAATACCATGTAAAACAAGACATTTTCTCAGATATTAAGTAATGTAGGTATTTAGAGCACTAAGTTAACACAATCAGCTATCAATCAAAAATACTTGTTTTTGAACTCAAGACTCAGATTTACAATTTACTGTACTATTGTTTGTTAGTTAGTCGGGCAAGAACTCTAGAAAGGCTGGACTGTTATTATTTTAAAAATGCTTTTCTGTGGAAGTAAATTCTTGGATGAAAGAAGCAAAGGTAGGTAGAATATATATTGCTTAGGTAATTTATAAATAAAATATACCAATTGGTTAAAACTGCTAAAAAAAGCCACTATGTATCATATATAAATATATTTATATATATAAATATATTTGTATATTATTACTTATATATAAGTAATAGAATGTAACTTTTTTATTAAGTATTTTTCACCGGGCACTTATATTAGGGGTGGTGAATAAGATTATCTTTTATTACTCTTACCTAAAAATGTGGTTGAACTTTGTACCACAAACATTGCATTAAAAATCTTGTACCTTGTTTGGTTCCCTGCCTTCTTCTTGCTTGTCAATTATCTATGAAAATGTCACATCCATAACTAGCAGAACTATTCAGTTATAGGTCTCTAGGGTAAACCAATCCAATCACCCATATTTGTCATCTAATTATACTGTAATTGTGACAATAAAGGACAAAGGCCTTTGTCAAAGTGCACAAAACAATCTGTTGATACTGATTAATGCACCAAAATGATGATCAATGCATTTAAAATGAACTTGTCCACTAGCAATTCAAAGAAACCTTCGTATTGATAAATTGGACTAACCTAATGTAGTACGAGTAATTCAGATGCAAAGGCATTTAGATAAGACGTTAAAAGTTAAGTTTAGAAACAAGCTTGCGAATTGAGCTTGGCTTCTCATGAAGAGAAAGTAATAAAATTTCTTTATGGTGTTTAGTTACTTTAGGCAATCTTCAAACTAACTAAGAGATAATCGACAACATCATACAACTTGTCAACTTCTTCTTTGGCCTAGTACATATCATTGGACATAGAGACTAATGCCATACTCAGGGCCATATAATGATTTATTGAACTATTATTTTAGGTTTTATAAAAAAAAATCTTATAATGGATAAGATAAGTACTTAACCACTATGTCAGGTATTGTCAGTAGTCATTGTGAGTAGAAAAAAAATATTTGATTTTATCCATAATGCTTAAGAATAATTTCTTATGTATCAACCATAACATTAAGTTATTTAACCGATTCGTTGCGATGCCTAATTTCACTAACTTCTAGCCGTGGCGTCGAACAAAAATAACGTGACACTGATCAGTGCCCAACGCCATACGATTAAATGACACTCATCTGTGTCTTCAGCCATACGGAAAAGAAAACAGTGTTTTGACATTTTTTTACTTATTCAAAGCTCGAATACTTTTAGTTTACATGTGAAATCTAACGTGAACGGTCAGGCACGTTGTTTTAAGCGATAAAAAGTGGCGAAACAAGTGTATTTGTGGAAATGGAAGGTAAGTGACTTATTTAATACAGATGTGCTCAACCTTTTCAACTTATTTTGCATTTCCTAGTAATTTGATTGATTATGAGGTATTAAATTGGGTCTAAAAATTTTTGCATAACAAATTTCAATTGTTTATAATTAAACTACGCAAATAAAAACTGCTAAGTTAGATTAAATAGTAATAATAATGATAGTAGTACTAATATATAATTATTTTATATGATTATTTGATACTAGCCGATGCCCGCGGTTCCACCCGCGTAGAATTTGTTTCCCGTTGTCCCACAGGAACCTATAATCGGAATAAAAGGTAGCCTATGTGCTATTTCAGACCAAGACTTATCACCTGTGCTAAATTTCATTGAAATCCATTCAGTAGTTTTTGTGTGAAAAAACAAAAACATCCAAACATTCTCACGGATACACAACAAATGTGAAAATTATTATTGTCAGAAAAAAATAATATTTGGCAAGATACTGATAATGTTTATTTATTGTTTAAGAATTACAGCGAAAAAGAAAGTACATTCCCGATACAGAAAATGAAACTCAATGCGACGATGACGAAGAGATAGTACAGAATTCACAACGCTGGGAAGACTCAGAAAACTGGGAACAGGAATTTATACCACTTTTACTGTAATACATTTATAATTTATTATCATAATATGATGATTTAATATCAAATACTTCAACTTCCAAAAAGGTTGGTGCCCCCTATTTTTTTTAAAATATTACAGTATCCAGAAACGAAGGCTACGAGCTTAATATACGTGAAAAATGAAGATAGTTTGGTTTCAGGTAAAACTTCCATAAAACTTAATTGAAGGAGTTATCATCGATTTCAAAATGACACATATCCGTGCCTGACGCCACACTTAAAAAGAAGTGATGGCACTGAAACGTGCCATCCGCAACGAATCGGATAAACTGACTATAGAGGTGTTCTACACCTTATATAGTCAGTTTAAGTTGCACTGTATATAATTATTTTTGGTGATACATAATGTGTTTATTAATAATTATTCTTAATGAGAGTTTAATGATGAATCATAACTAAATGATAAAGACTTATTGTCAAAATTGTAATTATTTGATACAGAAAACCAAGACTGAGTCCCTACTTAAAAGAGACGGAAATTAACTCAGTGATATTATGAATCATGTAGAATCATTGTCGTTAGAAATAGAGATATGTTATCAGTAGTCTAGATAAACACACGGAACAGTTTAAGTAACATGTTGTTTTCGCTTACATTATTTATCTGTTGATAACAACAATCTTAGACAACAAGGAACAAGGAACTTTAAATGGAAATCTGAATAAGATTTTTTAGGCGATCTTAATAATCATGGTAAAAATTATACATATTAATGTAATGTATGTGTCTAGGGTGAATGTACACAACTTTTTATGGTGATTGACACTATAAAAATACATTTAAAAACAAAAATGAGTTACAATTACTTACTTATTCTTTATTTATTTAGTTATTTCTAAATTGTTATGTAGCACTTCATTACTAAGGTCAGAAATAAGTCGGGAATATGGACTGAATATTAGTCTAAATTATAGTAGGTACCTTATACAAAAAAGAAATAGCTAAACCATTTAGTCATTTTTCATTATTGTATTTAATTAAAACTCTTAAGTAAACAAATATTATGATAAATTTATCTGTAGCTAATGAGGAAATCCATTATGGAGACAATAACAGTAACATTGTAGCTATTTGGGAAACCCAAATAGTAAAAATACTTGGAACCACAGGTCTGGTGAGTGCATTGCTGGGAAACAATCTGTCTTGCTATATGTTACAGGTTTAATTCCTGCTTGTAATAGCTTTAATGTGATTAACAAGGTGTTATTTCAGTTCTGGGTGTGATGCGTGTGTGAAATTGTGTTTCTATACGACACAACAATGGGAGAAAATAGCAATATAAGAATTTTTTTTTTAAAAAGAATTGTTTTTTTTCTGAATTACTGATATTTGTAGTATTGTACTTACTTAATGATATTTTACTGACATTTTTGAATAAGAATGTCATGTAATTAATGTATGCTACAAATTCCTCCATAATAATGACACCATAATTCCAATTAACTATCTACTGTTGCTTTTTGAATCCAAAGATGTTTTTATTTACATATGCAGCAAAACTGCTTTCTTAGCTTTCTGTCATAATTATGAAACATAAACAATATTATTTTTAAAGTACAATAATGAATAATCGTTTTTCGTGTGATAACATCACAAATAGCTAAGCAATTCTTCATTTATTATTTTTAATATTTCATTTTATTATTTCAATACTGATTATCATAAAACAATACTGATAACAAATTATGAATATGAAATTTAATCATATTTTACAACATAAATACTATATTATCAAATTGACCGATACTCTGACTCAATTATCAAAAGTAAAATGACCTTCATAAGTTTCAATTTTGATAGTACCTATTCATAGAATAACATAAAATGATAAAAACTTCATGGTCTAATAACAATAAGCTTGGTAAGGACTGTATGGCCACACATCAAAAACATGACAGGTGGCAAACAATAAAAAAAAGAACGCCAAGTTGTGACGATGTCTTCGCGAGTAAAGATCAAAACAGACGTCGCAAAACAAACCTGTATTGCGAGCTAATCTTTAAGCAACTATTTAACATAACAACTCGTATGTTTGCTACAGCATCACATTATCGTGGCCATCGAGGCGCTCACTGCATAACATTTTCATACCAACATATTATTTACTATTGAAACTGATTTGCATATGTCGCTCTGGCCAGACAATGCAAAACTTACGAGTAACGTGACGTAAGGACTAACAATCGTACCCTAGTGATTTAATATGACCATAATAGTAATAGGAAATTGTACTGTACACTTTAACAATCAGAACAATGGTAGGTAGTAGGAAAATCAAACAGAAACATTGACTGAATCATCCCAATAAATGCCAACAAAGAATGACAACTTCTACAACGCGATTCATGATTTATGAAGCGTACCAAACATAAATGTAAAATATTTTTGCAATAATAAACACTAGATAACACATCGTAGTATGGTTTAATTAGATATTTAGCACAAAATAAAGGAATCATCACAAAATATCGTGTTGACGTACCTTCGGTTTATAGAACCACTTTCTTAGTGACTCCATTGGACCTGTTTTATATAGCAGCCTCATATGAACGGATCACTGCACATCCACACACATTATAAAAATGAAATAGCACCGATAATCACTATAAAAATGAAAACAGAAACTTGATTTTCGTCAATATTTACGTCAAATAACACAAACGGCAGACATGTTTCCACTAACCGCGTTCCGTTCACGTTACGGAGTGAATGACATGACGAAACTAATTTGGGCAATACGAATGAATGACACAATAGTGTTGCACGGTTAAAATATTACAAATTAGCAATTCAATTCCTGAAAAAAGTTTATAATTGTATTTTGAAAAAATACAATTTAACCGTATAAAAATATCGTAATAATTTTTGAAAACACTTTCTATAACAATAATTTAAAAACTCTTAAATGATTAAATGTAATATAAATAATTAATTGTTTTGTGGTCTAAACGAATACATAATATTATACGATTATGAATATTATTTCTATTATCAAATTGATTAAATGATGAAAAGTTGGGTAAAAAACCAAAAAGGAATCTGGATTCGTTGATTTCGTTTCTTTCAATGCATTAATAATCTGTAGTAATTGAACTAAATGTCAAACGCGGGAAATTTAATCTCTCAAACTCAAACCCTCAATTTCCCTCAAACCCAATGCCTGTCAATGCCATGCCATCACTTTCTAACTTTCTCATTTTATTTCTGATTTATTAATAAATTAAGTTATCTCTCACATTATACTAAATTATGAGTACTGAACTGCGTTTCGTAATCAGTTAAGTAGTGGTTTTTTTTAACAAAATCATGGATGTGATGTAACTATAGATTTAAAAAATAATAACCATGTCATTTTTTAATTAGTCTATTCGAACTCTTAATATATTTTAATTTATATTTGATGTTACATGAATTCTTATCCTCGATTAACAACTATATTATAGTACCTAGGTACCTAACGAAACTATAACCACGTACAAATAGCGCCATCTATGATCATTACAGTAAACTAAAATATCTAGTTCATGCGATGCAGTAACGCCGTAATCTATGTCTAAGAAATGAATTAATTCACCGTTACCGCCACTGGAGTCGCTGGGGAGAAACCGGGGAAATATTTTTATTCAATTTAATCGTTTAAGTACATTCAGACGACAACGGACTTATGTCATAATAATACAAAACCCAACAAAACCTGATACTGTTTTCATAGTTTGTAAAGCACAGATTCCATAATAAGATCTCTTAGTTTTGTCTTTCTGTTGATTATGACCAATTTGTTTTGGGGACACGGGTTACAAATATTTAAGGATTTAGAATTGATGACTAGGGGGGGAGGACTTGGGCCTTCGCCCCTCCGGTAACCTCACTCACACGGTGAAACAGAACGCTTTGGTTGTTTCACGCTGGCTTTCTTTGAGGCCATGGTATATCCCTCTGGTCGAACCGACCCATTCGAATATAGTGTATTTTGAGGAACTTTGATATTTTGGTAGAAAGGGGAAGTTGTTGAGCTGTCCCCTATGCGTTTAAAATGCGCAGGGAGAGAGGGGACAGTGAGATACTAAAAACTAATTAAGGTAAAATCTTCTATATGTATACTTATAATAAATCTATAGAGAGGTAAATTCTGCACATGAAATAAATTTTTAAAATAACTATCAGGGGGTGATAAGTGATCGATACTGATTTCTAATAGTTATTGTCTGTCTATATAGGTATGTTCCTTATAGAAACAAAATCTACTCGACAGATTTTAACAAAACTTGGAATATTTATTCTTTATATTCCTGGCCAGGTTGTATGATACTTTTCATCACGCTACAATCAATAGGAGCAGAACAGTGTTATGAAAACGGGAGAAGTTACTCAATTTTTTAGCTTCCGTCGTGTGTGCAGCTTTAATGGTCAAAGTTAAAGTTAAACCTCAACTTTGGGCGGTTCATTGAGTCCAGAGCCAAGGTAGCTGCTAGAAAACTCGGCGTTCTTGCAAAAGTCCGACGGTACCTACTTCACACCGAGTCAGCGTCTAATGTTGTATAAAGCTCAGCAGTGTGATTCTGTAAGACTTCATTCTAAACTTCGAATCTGAATCCGCCGTGAGTAGTAGTACACTAGCGCTACACTTGCGAGTTGAACTAAATTGACAGCATCATTTTGAAAGATAAAGTATGAAATGACGTTAAAAGTGGCATTCTAAAATTTAATTTACCCGTCATTTTGACGCTCACTTCGCACTCGAACACGATTCAAATCAAACAAATTTTATAGAATCGACGTGCAGGTCCGATTGTGTGTGGAGTACTGCAGCCACATATGGGCTGGTGCTGCAAAATGCCACCTAGCGGCTTGGGATTCAGTGGAAAGGCGTGCAAAGAGGCCGATTGGTGATCCAGATTTGGTTGAATCCAATCTTCAAAGACTCGAGCACAGGCGCAGAGCAGCCAGCCTTGCGGTTTTCTACAGGATGCATTTTGGAGAGTGTGCTCAGGAATTGCACGATTTGATTCCGCCATCCCAATTTCACCTTCGGACATCCCGACATGCAAATATCCACCCTTACGTTGTTGAGACACCTGCGGCCCGGACTAAGCGTTTTGCCTCATCATTTATACCGCGTACATTTTCTTTCCGTCTGAATACAATTTAGGTGACTTCAAGGCTAGAGTGAATAGGCTCTTAATAAGTGCACCTTACCATCAACGATTGCATCACTGCTTACCATCAGGTGGAATCGCAGTCAAGCACTAGTTTATTGCAAGTAAAAAAAAAAGTTACATAGAAAACATGAATTACGAAAATTGACAACATAAAAATACCTACAAAATATCCTACAACAGTATATGTCTATCTTTTATGTTTGATTCACAATAACATGTGTAAACAAGGGGTAATTTTTATCCTTATATTATCCACTTCCATACCCAAAACCAAGCGACCTGTATACAGATTTATTATAAAATAGAATAATATTGCCAGGAACTTATACCTAATATGTTTTGTGGCGCGCTACAATTAATAATTAATCGCTTTTTAAGTTGTTTAAATGTGCTGCTTTAAGTTTTACTCAAAATTCTGTGTTTATTTTATTTCCATCAACTCTGTCTCTGTCTGTCTCTCCTTCACACCTAAACTACTGAACCGATTTGGATAAATTTAGTACAGACATAGTTTGAAACTCGGGAAAGGACATAGGATAGTTTTTGTCCCGGGAATTCAAAAGGAGAACTTCCCGAAAATCCTATGAGACCGGTAAATGTAAAACAAAAAATCTTCTAAAAGTCACTATTCCGCGCGAACGAAGTCGCTGGCAGAAGCTTTTTTTTGTGAGAATAAAATCATCAAATGACTTCTCCCGCTCAGGACGAGCGGGATCCCTCCTGCTCGGTCCTGGGTGTCAGACTCTTACTCGCTAAAAACCCCCTGTTCCTTGTCCTGCTCTGGGCCGAGGTCGAGGTCGAGGCCTCATTGCGCTTACCCCGCAATCCCGGCTGAACTCGCTGGCAGAAGCTTGTACTAACATATTTTTCTATGACGTTTAAGGTCGTTGTATATCTCCCGTTTAGTTTTTTTACTATCTTTGATCTTGACTGGTCGTTCGTGGTTTCATAACCCCAGATACCTTTGCGGTCCAAGTATTGTGATACAAGAGTGATCTTCGATCGAATTAATCAATTTCTGGATTGGACAAAGATACCTAGTATTGGGGATTATTTTGAAGCGTCCGTTTCGCATGCACCGGTCTCGTAACCTGGCTATATACTTATACTATGTACTAGCTATTCTCGTAAGTAATTACGAAGAACTTCTTCTACGATGTACTTCGGAAGATTTACGTTTTCTTTGAGCCGTTTTCTTTCACCGTTATATTTATCATCTAACTGCCAGTTTCATCAGAAATATACAAGTATGGCCTCCGTCGTATCACATTGTGAAAATAAAAAAAATGTTTTTGTCTTTACAGAAAACTACGTACCTATACATATGTGTAGGTAGGCAAACAAAAATATAATAATATCAAGTTTCTGAAACAAGATACCAAATCGTAGGTGTGATGCCGAAATAATGACAGGGTATTCCAACCACTGCGATCGTGAAGATACGACGATCCCTTTGAACAGTTACAATCGTATCTATTTCAAATAAAACTTTTATTTTGCTCGTTTGACATCTGTTTTTCTTTATTGCCAAATTGTTGGTTACCTTTTGATTCGAAAGATAGGTACTATTTTGAGGGCAGTTTGTAAGATAATCTCGACAACAAGCGAGTAATTAGTGAAAGTATTTTTGATAAGGTGGTATTTGTTATAAAGTTTCAAAAGTCGTATTGTATTTATTCCTTTTTATTTCTTTCTCATTGCTACAAAGCGATTTAGATGCTTATTTTTTGTCTGGAGATGGGAAAATTATATACTTATGCTTTGTTTTACTTTGAATACGTGGAAGCCGAGGGTGATATGATGTATAGATAGCACAAAACATCGTCCTAATTTATCCAGATATAGGCAGATACTATTTACACTTAAAGTAAATAATATACTAACATTAAGTTCAGTACAGATGCAACGCGGAATTAAAGAATCAAAAACCTCCGGAATACCAAAACTGAAACCCAATACCCGATCATCAATGAAGCTACCATAAAGAAGATAAATAAATTCTTTAAAAATAATTATGAATAATAGGGAGTACGCCTTTGGCGCCCACAAAGTGACTTACCAGCCCTCAAGGATTAAAACAACAATAACAGTTAAGGGAAAGAGACGAATTTCAATGTAAATTGATCGACGAATTAGAGTGCTAATTCGCTAGAGGCCGATTATTTTTTTACTTTTAACATTTTTTTTTCTCAATTTGAAATGTAGCGTGGGCAAATTACTTCAGATGGAATTAAATTACGTACCTATGCTTGCAAAGTTTCGTTTCCCTAGGGTTAATAAATGGAGAAGTTTTTAGTAAGGTGTTGTTAGATGTATGGAGGTTGTCATTAACGAAGTTAAAATTAGTCTTTGTATGCACTCTTGAGGATAGTACTCGGTTCATTGAAGGGGTCTTAAGTAAGTTATTTAGTCCACAAATGGATCACGCTTTTTCAACAACATTTGTTTCAAAGTAAATTTAATTTTGTTTATCACTAAATAGTATAAAATAAAGTCGCGTTCTCTGGTAACTTAAATCTATAAATCTTTTTAATTTTTGATGCGGTTTT